TGCTGGGCTCAAGCCCCGGATCGGGCTCCCTGCTCAGCAGAGAGCCTGCTTCTTCTCCCTCTCCCTCTGCCCCTACCCCTTGTTTATGCACTCTCAAGTAGAATCTTTAAAAAAATTAAAATGTTTAATCAATTGTTTCTTGTTATGCCAAAAAAAAGTCCAGACTGCTAAGGACAACACAAGTGTCCCTAACTGTCTGTACACCATCCCATCGCACTCCTTAGAGACACCAAAAGTTCTTTGGTTCATAATAACTGGAACTACAAGTAGATTCCAGTTTTGCGAGAACCAGTGCATTTTTTTAGGGGGTGGATTGTTTCTTTTTCTAGGAAAACCCTTGGAATGGACCACAGGCTTTGTAAACAAAAGGCCTCAAAACACTTAAGATGTCATTGCTCCAAGGTATTTCACTGCACTGAATGTTAATGAAATAGTTACAGAGTCCTGTGGGTTCAGCTGCTGACAGGAGGTCAGGGAGGAGCATCATGCAAGCTAGAATCTTGAGACATACCTTCAAGGATGCAGGGTGTTCACTATGGCTAACATACTTTCTCCCAGTATAAGATGCCCATCTTTGGGAATATCCCGAAATAGGGAAAAATTACAGGTTTTTCCAAGGTCTAGCAAAACAAGCTAGAGGAGCCAGAGTTCATAAATTGGTACAGTAAACATTTCACCTCTTTTGCAATTAGTTTTTGAAGACCACAGCATGCCATGCTTTTTTTTTAGATTTTTATTTATTTATCAGAGAGAGAGAGACAGAGAGGGCATATATGCAGAGGGAGAGGGAGAAGCAGACTCCCTGCCAAGCAGGGAGCCTGATATGGGGCTCGATCCCAGGACACTGGGATCATGACCTGAGCCGAAGGCAGATGCTTAACAACTGAGCCACCCAGGTGCCCCCATGCCATGCTTTTTATACAGATCATTTGGAAATCACCCACCAACACTCTATTTACCTGTCGGGCCCTTTATGTGCTGGTCACGTTTATGTGGACTCTCCTTCACCGGCATTGCTGCCATTCATCTCTACTCCTTTTCATCCTCCTGTGTGACTCCTGCTGGAATTCGTCAAATTAAGCTCTGAGCATCTTATGGTCTTTCCCTGAAACATCGCATTGCTCCCTACTCCTATACCTTAGCCTTGACCCAGTCAGATTCTTTGTGTTTGTTGAAAAGGCTCTGTTACTCCGCTGCTATCTTTGTCTAACCTCCTCCCTCTGGAAGCTGTTTATAGCGCTGACCACCCAGTCCTTTCTAGCAGGAATCCACACAGAAGGGAGCTGACAGTCTTATTAATTCCACATTAAAGTAAAAGCAGTTTACTTAAGTAGGGTAAAAGTCTGATGCTTCAAAATCTTTTTTTCCAAGTATTTCAAATTACGTAAATTTAGTATTGAAAAGGGGTACCTGGCAGGCTCAGTCGTTAGAGCATTGGACTCTTGCTCTGGGGGTTATAAGCTTGAGCCCCATGGTCGGCAGGGAGTTTACTTAAAAGAATTGGTAATGAAAAAAGTATTTTTCCTTTGTCTTCATTCCGTAGACTACTGGGAAAGAAGGGTCACTTGGGAGAAAGTCGAACCGAATTACTTGAATTAATAAATACCACAAGGTGGCACACTTTCCCCACTTAGAGGGAATTGCACTCCGAGAACTCCCCGGTACAAATAAGTGCAAAATAACTTGAAGCTTTGTGCAATTACACTTGGAAATCTCTAAATGGTTTAAAGATCTAGTGCTGAAGTCAGCTTAAGGGAAATGGTTAAGGAGAAATCAAGTGCATAGGAATGGGGTCTTAATTCAGGCAGGAAAATCTCTAACGTTTGTTTCCTTGTCACGTGGGCCATATGGAATAGATGTCATCGACTCAGGGAATGTTCAAATGTAAGCCTTTTCTGTTTGCTTTCTAAATTCTTGTAATGTGGGATAGATTAAGTCCACCAAATATTTCTTATCATGCAGATGTAAAGAAAGATTTGTCTATACCAGGTATGTGATATATAGGTACAGGAATGAAGGAAAATGTGGTGAGGGAAGTCGGAGAGAGGGAGGGTGGGAGAGAAAACACTGGGTGTTGAGGAAGGGTAAGTCACAAGGCTGAGCCTGGGAACTCCATGCCTGAGATGTGGGGAACGGAGCATAAGGGTAGATCTGAGGGCCCTGCTGGCTTCAGCTGTGATCTGGCACGACGTTATCCCCATCCTACAGGGTCTTTCTGCTTAGCGCACACCATCTTTCATTATCTGCACTGTCCAGGAAAGCCGTGGCAATCTGCAGAGAGATGTGGGCTCAAACCCATACTGAACCATGGTTCTTTACATTGCTACTGTAATTGTAGTTACCAGCAGAAGGAATGTGCCGGCACTGTTGTTCCTCTGTGAGGACCTAGTCAAAGGAAGGAAGAGCCTGGACAGTGGTGGCACTGAGCATCAGTTACGTGAGGATCTTACCCTCTAATAGTGGCATATTTGTTGACCATATTCTCTGTGTCTAACACTAGAATGAAGGTATTATGTATGCAGGTGCTGCACAAAGGCAAATTCTGGCTCGACAGAGGAGTGCTTAACATGCTATAGTCCTAATAGTTCATGGGTGCTTGCGCTTAACCCAGAAGAATTAGTAGTATCTCCATCCTCAATTAGAAACAGGTTCAGAAGGGAGCCTGAATTCAGACTCAGGTCTGTCTGACTCTAGAGCCCATGTTCCTCCCACCACTGGAGGGTGAAACTCAGAGTTCAAAAGAAGGGTCTTTCACTGGAGGATTTAAGACTGTGTTACACCACCCAGTAATGAGGGGAAACTGAGGAAGAAGTTAGAGGGATCCTTTCACTTCTCTTTTCTTACCTTGGAGAGAATCTGACCGATTTCTGACAGAACCTTAAACTGACATTTTAAAGTATACACATTATAAAGTTTAAGATGATTTTTATTGAACAGGTATAAGATTCACCTTTACATTATTACATACAATAAATTTTTTTGTAAAAAAAAATTTCTGGGATTTATAATTTGTACAGTAAAACAAATATATAAATATGAAGGTCATTTTCCAAGTATTAGAACAATACTAATGGAATCACTTCCATAACAATTGTTTTTCATAAACATTTACATGATTACCCACAAGTTGTATCAACTTCCAGAATAAGATGTATTTCCAAAAAACAATCAAACAATATATCCTAAGTATTCCTCTGCATGGGATTTGGTCAATGAATATCAGAGAATTTTATTTTATATATATATATATATATATATGATGAACGTAAACACTTGTAAATGCAGACTACATTGTCGTAAATAATAAAAATTTGCCAGCCTTGTCATAGAAGGAGTAGCTAGAGACCACTCACATCACTATTTAAAATACACTGTGTATATATTCTCTTAGGAAAAATCACGTATATAAGGTAATAAGGCCTTAATTTCCAGAGTAGTCTTTAAACTTACTTCATCCTTTATATTTTTAGACTTTATATTTTTAAACATCTCAGCTATTAAAGTTATGCATAGTACCTAAGCCAACACAGACACGGGCATTAATAATTTCAATTACAGTACTTGAATATATTCACATGACGTACCATCTAAGAGAAATGGCTGAGTATAATTTCTGAACAGTCCCAGTTAGACCTGTTAAAATAAAATGCAACCCCATCATATAAGCCTTTTAAGCATTATTAAAGTCTTAACATAGCCTGACACTTCAGAGTACTTAAATACTTAATACTGTTAGCTTGAGTTTGCAAAGTGGTCTAGTTGACGTGGCAATCTCAGTCTAAAATTACTAAACTCACTTCTGGATGTCTTTTTTTTTTTTTTTTTTAAAGATTTTATTTATTTATTTATTTGACAGAGAGATCACAAGTAGACAGAGAGGCAGGCAGAGAGAGGGAGGGAAGCAGGCTCCCTGCCAAGCAGAGAGCCCGATGCGGGACTCGATCCCAGGACCCCGAGATCATGACCTGAGCCGAAGGCAGCGGCCCAACCCACTGAGCCACCCAGGCGCCCCACTTCTGGATGTCTTATGCTTTGGTTGGAGGTTAGATGAAGATTTGTTTTCCTTTTAGTAACACATAGGCTAAGTGGTGGACCTTGGGATTCTTTGTCAAGACTTTCTCAGATAAGTACTATTCCACTACAGTTGCTGAATATGGAAGCCTTCCACACCACAAAGGGGAGTCAACCATCAAAATGCAAACTGATGGCCCAGGGCTGCTTTGCCCATGCTACTCCTAACATCCTCTGGTCTCAGTTACCAGCTCCAGTCACAGGAAGTGGGCTTCTGACTGGCCTCTGTATTTCCCCCAAACAGAAGATTTGAGACTTCCTTATCTGACCACAAATAAATAACTTTAATATACCATTAATCCTTCTCTAGGATAGGATTAGACAAAGACAATGTTATAGATTTGCAAATTCTCCAAGACTGGGTGATCTGAAATTTGACTTTAATATTTAAAGACCAATATTAAGATCTAATTTTTCGAATCCAAAATTTTCTCAACTCCAAATGGAACCAAAAGTGCACTTGGTATTTAAAAAGCAATTTTTAAAAATAGCTACATTGTCAAAATATAGCTACACAGTACATGCTCTATGAAAAAACGGAGAAGTAAGGCAGACATTTAAGCAAATTTTAACAAATATTTCCAGAGGACTGCAAATAAATGTGATTGCAAAGTATGCCCACCAATGCCACACAAAAAATGAATCCAGACTCGTGCTGACTTTTCCCTCATCAATGTTTCTATTAAAATTATTTTCTATGGGACGCCTGGGTGGCTCAGTTGGTTAAGCAGCTGCCTTCGGCTCAGGTCATGATCCCAGCATCCTGGGATCGAGTCCCACATCAGGCTCCTTGCTTGGCGGGGAGCCTGCTTCTCCCTCTGTCTCTGCCTGCCATTCTGTCTGCCTGTGCTCGCTCTCTCTCCCTCTCTCTCTAACAAAAAAAAAAAAAAAAATCTTTAAAAAAAATTATTTTCTACTACATAAATCAAGATGTATCTGGTGGCTGCTAAAATTACAGAGGCAAGATTTTTATGCTTTTCAAGAGCTCCACATTTTGTTTTTTAAAAATAATTCTATATCGTTTTAAATACTGAGAGCCAGTCTTGTATAAAGGTATCAGGCCGAGGGCAGGCAAGGATAAGATGGGCAATGTCTGAATTACAGGACCTTTTACATACTGAAGAATGTCCTCACTGAACCTCACTTACAGTCAATAGTTTTTATCATTTTCAAAATGGCAAAATTATTTGCATAAGTGCCAATAAAAAATATAGCCTAGAAGTAATATTTTAAAAATAGAAAAATATGTTCTTAAAACATGTCATAAATATTTGTAAACAATAGTTTCATATCTCTATTAAAAACTTTGAGTTCCCCCCCAATAATATATATGGATGGATCAGCTCCTTTGTTAATCACAGAGAACAAGTCTTTACCACTTAAGCCAACGGTTTCCTTGGTTAGACTAAAATGGTCAGGTCAATTTTCTTCCTGCCAAAATAACAAAAGTATTACTAATGACTCAAGCTCTCTCTCAACATTCAAAAGATTCCAACATGGGGTTTCATCTTTTAAAAAATATCTGTTTGTATTAGAACCGGATTAATGTAGAATACCTAATCCTTGAAATGTTAAAAAACCTAAAACCCTACCAGGAACTACTCAAAATTTTCCAAAGCTCTACATTTGGACATTGAAATAATTTTCTTAACATACTTTCCCCTTACTTTGCCAACACAAAAATGGTTCACCTAGGCCAAAGTTATTCTAACATATCGTGTTTTTTTCTGGACACGCTTTTGAAAGGAAGGACTGGGAATTACTGGTTCTAGGGAATCTGCATTTTTCTTCAGTGACTGAGTGACTCCAAGAACATTAAAACTTATTATTTAAGACCAGAAAAACTTCCCATCTGATAAAAAAAGATGGTCTGCTGAGCTTGTTAAACTGCATCCAGAGCAGATATTCTTACTTTTAAAGCTATATTGGATTATGTCATAGCCTACTGTCTCAAAACAACTACTGTTACAGTAAAGAAAAAAACCATAGTATCCCCCGGCGGGGAGCTTAAAATAGGAAACCACGAGTCCATATCAGTAATGTCAAGCAGCTGTCCCCGGTTTTATCTGCCACCTCCTTAGAATAATTTTCAGTTTCAGATATAAGTCTGAACTTAACACAGAAAAGGCCACTGTTTCTGACATGCTACAACTTTCCTCCTGTCCTGAATTCTGACTCCTGAAACCAGCAGATAGTATTCAGTTAGAACAGCTGTTAAGGTGCCTTATGGGAGCCTAACCTATTAAATATGAAACTTACCTTGAATCTCAACTATAGTGCTAGTAGGAGTTCTGCAGCTCATCTAACATTAACTAGTAACAATACGTGTTGCATAATAATGGCATTACACTCATTCACATATCTCAGACTTAAACACACTCCATTTGTGACAGATACAGTGAGAATTAAGCACTCTACACGTTTAAGTTGTAGTATAACATTTTCCCCCACACACGAACACCCAAACTTTATATCAGTGATTCAATCAAGAAGAGTTAATAAGCAGTACAATACTGTAGGTAGGAGAGAACATGGAAGATTTCCTTAAGAGATTATAACTATTTTGACAGAATTTATAGGATTCAGATGATTCACTTATTACCTCCCGGAACATTAAAATGATATAATTAGAGCCCAAACCTGTTGAACACCTCTGCTGCAGGTTTTATACGTCATACAGAACTCGGTATACTCGGGCGTATAGCGCTGCCTTCCCCACCTGGCTGTTCTGAAAGGAAAAGTAGGCCTTTCATTATCCTGTGCAGTGACCGCAGAAGCCGTGTGCCACTAGCGACACATGGCCCAGCCCGTGGGTGCTCCAGTTCTGATGTTCCCTTTCGGTGGGTGGGACAGGATGGTGGCGGGCACTTTCCGAGAAGAAATCGGTGATGGCTTTCATCTTAACAGAGGAACGTGCTTGAATGAGGTGCCTCGACAGCTTGACTGCCCATGTCTCAGAGCCCCAGGGAAGCTCCAGTTCAGGAGTCCGACTGCTAGCGTTTGATCACGACTTGCTCATAAGCTCCAGATCCGACTCTACGACAGGAGGGGAGAAAAAAACCACTTCAAGGTCTTGAGCTATGATGCTTAAAACTGTTCTAGTGAACCTTGCCCTCATAGAAACAGTGCACTAGGCATTTTCTACTAGATTTGATTTCCACACAGTTTAAAGAGATCACAGTTAGAGAGTACTTGAAATAGTAAATGTTTATCATCAGTACATTGGAATGGTCTAGTCATGCTTATTCTTGTGGTAATCTAGTATTATTCCTAAATCTTAACCTGTGCCAATAAATTTCTTCTTGAAAAATGTTTATACACACACACACACACGTATATATATATATAAACCAGTCTCATCCAAGAGTATATACTGACTGGCAATTTACCCAGGCCTTGCAGAGTTAACAGGTGACTGTTTCTAGTGTGTGGTGTCTTAATGTACCTTTCTAGAAAATGCAAAAATTCTTTTAGTTAACATGCTAATGTTTTTATTTTCCTTTTTTTTTTTTTTTTTTTAAAGATTTCATTTATTTGAGAGAAAGCAAGCACAAGCAGGGGGAGAGGCAGAGGCAGAGGGAGACACAGACTTCCCACTGAGCAGGGAGCCCAATGTGGGCTTTGATCCCAGGACCCTGACATCATGACCTGAGCTGAAGGCAGACACTTAAGCTAATGAGTCCGCCAGGTGCCCCAGGCTGATGTCTTCATACGTGGTCAGTGATGTAGACTGTACCAGTGTAATACGGATTTAGAGTGAAATGATTTTTTTAAAAAGAATTATTTATTTATTTATTAGAGTGCAGGAGAGCAGGGGGAGGGGTGGAGGGAAAAGGGTGGGGAGAGAATGAGGGACAAAGAAGCAGACTTCCTCTTGAGCACAGAGGTTTGATTCCACAACCTTGAGATCATGACCTGAGACAAAATCAAAAGTTGGATGTTCAACCGAATGAGCCACCCAGGTGCCCCTAAAATGAAGTGGTCTGGAAGAGGGGTTTATTTCTTCATTACCTTGGCTTGGCATACTGCTAGTTGTCCCCCTAAATCTATCCTCTCCTTCATGGTTCTAGCTACAGGCTGTATAGACATCTCAGCTAGAGGCCACATTTCCTAAACTCCTATGTTGACAGGTATTGGCATGAGACTCAGTTCCTCCCTCCATGGAACATGAGTGGGGATGTGTCAACTTTTGTCTCATAAAGAGAAATTGCTTGCTCTGGACTGGTAGCCATCCAAGTTTGACAACAGGTAGGGATGATGATGAAGGGCAAAACGGAGGGGCCTTGGGTCCCTGAATTACTTTTTGAGGCCTAGCAGTCTCATCAGCCTGGCCATTGTATTTCTGGTTATCTTTGCTATAGTAGCTTAGCCTTTGCCCTGATCTTCCAGGTACTGACTGACCTCTATGAATGAAATGTGGAGAATGCTAAAAACTTAAAACTTGCAAGCTTTGTGACAAAAACAAGTATTTAAATGAAATAATGGCCTCATCAACAGAAGGTTTTTTATTGCTGATGTACCTAGTATCTTGGCCCTGCGTTATAATGGAATGAACACACGTGCTCCTTCTATTGTTTCTTCATCTGGGAAGATAAAGGTTTTCTACAAGCCCATAAAAGCAGGGTCTTTTTGATGGCAACTCAGTTTATTTTTAGATGAGGAACTTTGAGCCCTCCTAAGTAAACAGGAGGGGAGCTGAAGAGGTGCTGTTGCATGGAGGGGCCGGTATTATTGCTTAAAGTTATCACTAGTACCCATCTCCTCCTGTGTCAAGATACCAGGGGCTACACTACCTGACCATTTCACTCTGAGTATGCCTGAGATCAGTAAGACCAGAAGCAACCACCATGACTGGTCTCTTCCCACATGGAATTTTAAGAGGAAATTCTAAACAATGGGAGAGAGGTACTGGTTACCAGCCCACTGTGGACTGAATTGGACTTTCCAGTTGACTGCTCAGAGGTCTTGTTCTTATAGATTCATTCTGCAGAAGAAACAGGAACATTCTCAATAGAACACCAGTGAACACTCATTCACAGCTAAAGAAATTCAGAATTTGAAGGGACCTTGCTGAGTGCCGCCCCTGCACACTGGCTTTCAGAGGCCCTAAAATAGTTGTACTCTGGCAATGATGGAGTAACAGGAATCAGACTTTCCCTCCTGCTTTAAATAACTAGAAAATTTTTTACAGCACATGTAAAACAATAGTTTCACACACTGGACAATAGGCAGTACAGGACTGGTCCTAAGAGAATGGAACTCAGTGAAGAAAGCCCAAAGCGGTTTCCTTCAGGGTCCTTCCAGCATGCAGTGCAGGGAGAACCCAAACATAAGCAAGTGGTCTTTCTGAGAGCAGGGGTCAGGGGTCAGAGCTCGGGGAGGCTGGGGGCTAGAATCTGTAGGTGAGGATAACAGAAGGAGGGGCAGGTAAAAATAATGGCTGGAGAACTTCCAAACTTGAGGAAAACTGTAAACCACAGATGCATAAGCTCAATGAACCCCAAGCAGAATAAACACAAGAAGAACGCACCAAGGCGCATCATAACCAAACTGCTAAGAACCAGTGATAAAATCTTAAAAATGGCCAGAGACGAAAGATAAATCACATCGAGGAACAGAACCAACTGAAAGCAGACTTTTTGTCAGCAACTAAATGTCTCAGAGGCAAGCAAGGAGACGCAACCCTGCAATGTCTGTAGGTATCCCTGAGCTGGTCAGGCTGCATCCACAGGCTTCAAGGTATTACTGGGGATATTCCTCCCACATCTCTATTGTTTATTGCTCCGTTCTCTTCATTCTCAAGGGCTCACTTTCCTAACTAGGTATGCATGGTTCTCATACCTCTTCAGTGACTTGAGTAAATGATTCTAGGTCCATTTGCGCTGCCAGTTTCTCTCTCAGAACAGACTGAATGCCAGCGCATTCGTTGCACCAGCTAGTGATGGACAGCCTACCTATACAAGTATTGTGCTGGGCATCTCCCAGCAACTCTGCAAGAGAGAACTTCAATTGTGCATAACAGTACTTGAGTGTTTACTGCATACCAGATTTTTTTTTAGTCATTTACATGTTTCACCTCACTTCATTTAGCCTTATAACTCTTATGAGGTAGGTTCTGTTATTGTCACTAGTTTGTAGGTGAGGAGACAGGGAGAAATGGGGTAACTTACTGAAGATGCATGGCTGATACTTGGTGGAGCTTGGGACTGAACCCAGAAAGCCCAACTCCAGACCCTGTGTCGTTAACCCCAACGATATGTCTTTTTGGTGGCAAGTAAGAGATGTAATTTGTTAGGATTATAGCCAAGCTGGGTCATGACAGCTAAACCGGGTCATGACAGCTAAACCAGGAATGAAACCTATGTCTGAATGCATGGCCCATTCTCTTTTCACCGTAATACACTGTCTCCAACATTCCTCAGTCTTTCTGTGGCATGTGATTTTAATTGTCTACTTCAACCCCTAATTATCGTCTTAGGCATTCAGGCATTGGGTGATGATTCTACTAACATTCATTTGGAAAGGGGGTAGGACCCAGAATTATGAATGCCTTTATAGCCTAGATCCTAGATTATCTCTCATAGAAATTATTTTTCTTTCCTCTGAATAACAATAACATAAACAACTAGCATATACTGAGAGCTGTCCATGTGTTACGCACTGTGTTAAATACTTTACATAAGTTATCTAATTTAATCCTCAGCAAAATCCTGTGAGTTAGGTAATATTTATCACTCCCATTTTTCAGGTGAGGAAAATAAGCCTTGCAGAGTTTAATAACATCAGTAAAGCAGATAGGGGTGGAAGTCTGACTGGGACCCTGAGCAGTCAGAAATTAGAGAAGAGATCTATCTGGGCATTTATTATTTTGGTTCCTTTTGGTTGGAGCTGTATTATTTGCTATTCTTCTACCTAAATTAATAATTGCTAGAGCTTAGTGAGTATATTATGTCATTTACTCTTTAAATCAATCTCATGATTATCCCCACTTTTCAAGAGGGGTAACTAAAATTCCATTGAAGTTAAAAGATTTACTGAGGCCCCAAAAGTGGTCTGGCTAGGATATGAACCCAAACTCTTTAACTCAAAAACACGTGTTTCTCTACCGTACTTATCACTGTCCTCATAAATGTTATTTTTCTACCTGTTCTTTGCTACTAGTCTCTCCTTGCTCCTGTCTCCCTTCCCCACCCCCTCTCCCACTACAAATTATGGCTAGTTTTCTAAAATGCCCATCTGATAGATCATTTTTCTGCAAAGAATGATCAAACTGTACATATGATAAAAAAGGATAATAAACTCTTTGTGATGGTGACAGAGGCCATTTACAACCTGGCTTTGAGATTGTTGCCAACCCCATGTTCCACAGCTCCCTTCGCATGCCCCCTCCTCAGAAGTACCTGTTCCCTGGCAAGTCCCTGAGTAGGTTACATTAGTCACAAGCCAGCTAGGAATACGGTGAGCTACCATGAACATGTCTGGACTCAAAGAGACAAGAGTCTGAATCTTGGTTTTATCTATTATTAGTTTTAAGGCTTTGGGAAAATTCCTTTAACTTAACCTCTTTGTTTTCTCTTTTTAAAAACTAATAATAGTACTTTGTGAGTACTAAAAGAGATAATGCAAGAACTGAATGAAACATATATATGTGCCTGGCATAAAACAAATAATGCTCCATAAGTGTCATTGATAATTATTACATATTTACTATTATGTAATTAGATATTGTGATTATGCCTATAAGTTCCTTCTATTTGAACCTATTACCAGGAAAATTTGTCTTCCTCATATCCACCTGTTTACCCCCCACTTACTTTTTAATTCTCCCCAAGACTCTATTCAGGTGTCAACTTTCTAGGAAGTTTTCTCTGTGTGAGTGCGGTCCCATCTCTGTTCTGTTTCCTCTACTTCTCTATATTATAGTACTTATTATACTGCTATAAATTTTAATTTGTCTATCTCACCTGCGAGAAAGAGTCAGATAATAAATATTTTAGGCTTCGAGGGCCATTGTGATCTCTCCATACTACTCAGTTCTGCTACTGGAGCATCAAAGCAGCCATAGATAATACATAAATAAGTGTTGCTGTATTCCAATAAAACTATTTCTGCAAAAACAGGCAGTGGACCTACTTGGCTCATAGGCTGTAATTTGCCAGCCCCATGTGCTCAGAACATAAGCTAGCTGAGGGTGAGCTGGGTCTTTCTGCTTTTGCATCCTTACCCATGACTTGGCCTAATACGTAGTTACTAAATTTAATGAATAGTAAGTCAGCGAGAGAGAATGAAAACTATAAATTGTGCTTACATCCTCTAAAAACCCCAGTTTCAAATGAACTATTCCCTCATAGTCTCCTTCTTACCTAACTATCACATCTGATTTTAGGTATTTACTGTATCCTTCATATCTTTTGGACCCTGCAAGATACTGGACACATAGGAGGTACTGAACAAGACAAGTACTGTTGGAATGAGAGTACTGGTGAATGAGACATTCCTTCAGGTTTTGAGAATTAGAGAATAAAATAACTGTCTCTGACCAAGGGGGCTCCCTAACCCAATGCTGACTTATTCTGGAACTCTCCATAGATATTATGCGGAAATACTGAGTACCGGGCTGCACATCAGGGCAGAGATCAGAATTCCTCAAGTGTTCTGAGCATCAGTGCTCACAACTATTTGCTGCAGGGCTAGGTAACAGAATGGGAAGTCTGGCAGGTGCCTTTTCTTCATTCGAATCTGATTAACTCTCAAAATGATGTTTGGTCTTTCACAACTGTTTTTAGAATGTATGTTAGACTCTGGTATGGTGGAGAAGAGGGGAGTACAAAAAAGGTTAATACCAAGTGTATTCTGCTGAGTGGCCGTTTAACTGCCCACGATAGAGAAGATCACTGACTGGAATGTAATTCTGCTTTGCTCTTTCTAAAATATCAGATTAAGAACTCTTTTTTTTTTTTTTTTTTTTTTCCAAAGGACTGATTTGTCAGAGAGAGAGAGCACGAGTGCACAAGCAGAGGGAGCAACAGACTCTCCACTGAGTAGGGAGTCTGTTATAGGGCTCTATTCCAGGTCCCTGAGATCATGACTTGAGCTGAAGGAAGACACTTAACAATTGAGCCATTCAGGGGTCCCTAAACATCCCTTTTCATTGCATCTTGCCCCATGTTCTTCTGGTCCTCTACTAATACATTCTAAAAACACATTTAAGAAAATCAACAAACTTATAAAATATAATTTCAAACATACTCAAGATAAGGAAAACTCAGAGCTGTAATTCTACACGGAAGCACTGTATGTGTTTTCTAGCCTCAGTCTCATACAAAGTTTGTACCCTTCATCTTCCACTCAAGAACATTTAAAAGAAAAAGGCAGACTACATACCTATTTGGAAGATGATGGCTGCCAAAGGTTGTACTTCCCCCAGGTCCCACAAATAACCTCAGGCCTTCTTCTGCAATTCACATTTAAATATTTGTTATAGGGACACTTATCAGATTATTGTCAAACAATATTCCTCTTGTACTCAATTCATATTTTACATTTCAGTTTTATTAAAGAAATAAAAAACTTAGACAGCTACATGCATGTTTTCAAATAGGCAATCTAGAAGATATCCTTGTAGTTATTTCTCATCAACTTCCCTAAAGCTATTTTTCTTTAAAACTGAGTAAAGAAGACATCTCTTCCTATAAATTTCTACAAGTAAGGTTTAATTATTTCTCTTTACAACCAGTTACACGGTGAAACTAAGTCCATTGTTAACTGCTCTCTATTCACACCAGCATGAATAATTACACCTTTCAAACTGATGGCATGTAAATTTTCAGCCTCAGTGAACATGCTGAGGAAGGAATAAAAGATTCTGTTATTCACTCTCATCTCAAGATCACCACCCAACTCTCCAAATTACACAGTGATGTGAAGTACCTGTGTCCAGTTATGTCAAAACAGGTGAGACATCTGTCATAAGGTATGTAAATATGGTGGACGTTGAGGCATACACAATAAAACCTTTCTTTAAAATTGGTGTTTTTAAACTAAAGTTCATTCTTTTCCTAATTTAATATCCATTCCTGGAAATACATGAGCTACAAAGTCATCTTCGGATTTTCATGGGCAATGAAATTTAATTTACCAGCATGCAACAGTGTGATGTAGGGTCCCTTTCCCGTTGGACACGCGGACCACACAAACCTGGGTTGCAGACATCTATGCACATTTAATGTTATCCACCCACCTTCCGCACTGGAATCTAGGCTGAAGTCTTGACTCTGAAGTATTTTCTCCACAATATCATCTGCATCCACTCTGGTGTCATCAACTCGCTTCAGCTGAGATTCTACAGAATCTTGCTTCACTGGGCATCTAGAAAAATTTTTTTAAAAATTTTCTCCTCCTTCTTCTTATGTTATGAAAATAAAGTTGTTTTTTCTCTCCATTTAAATACAAACTGAAAGCATACCTTGTGAGCAGGTCTGAAGCCGTATCTTCTTTGCCGGCTAGATCAAGGTTTGGTTCGGCTGTTTTTGGCTCAATTTCATCACAGGGCTCTAGAATGCTTTCAATGCCTGTTGACGTGCTTCCCACTGAGGTGTTTCTCCTGTGGCAGAGCTCCGAGAAACTGGATGACCGGGAGTGGCAGGAGCTATACCCTGTCAGAGAAAAGCACATTGGATAAAATACGAGTATCAAATACACTGCAATCAGGCATTCTTCTCCCATACCGCAGCAATTCCAAGTAATCCCTTAGAGCAATAAATGTCTAAGGGAATTCAGCCTCACTGTTAGGCTCTACCTGATACTTTTGACTGCTGGCTTGCATAGCTTGATGTTCTAGAATGTCCACAGGCACCAAGTTCATCTGGAACAGAGGCACTCTTTGCTGAAAGATCTGCAATATGTCATAACACGATGTTACTAAGACTGCCAACAAGTCAATGGTCAATTTGTATTCTCATCTGCAGATTTTATAAACTGCCAAGTTCATTACCAAAAAAATTAGTTAGAAAGTGAAAGAGACCCTTTTAAAAACTGGTACAATGTCAACTCTGTTGCAAGAAATTAAAAAAATGTAAATACCTGAGTTTATTGAAGAAATACAGTTTTGTTTTTTTCCCCATAAGATTTAACAGCATTCTATCTTAAACCATTTTGGCTTTTATGTTCAATATTTCTTTAATAAAAATGAGTTTGATGTATTCTTATACTTACAAAATAGCCAGGTTTTTGTGTGCTTTTTGAGGAAATCTTGCTCTCAAAAAATCCATCACAGCAGTAAAATAAAGAGCACTCTGTTATTTTAATGTTAGTGTTGCTAGTGCTAGGCTATAATTTGGGCAAATGTCTGTGGTTTAAATCAACACAGCATGGAATGCAGCAGTGAGAATAAAAGTTCTCAGGAACTGATTATAGTATTCAGTTTCAAAGTAAATGTATAAAAAACCAAAAAAACCCAAAACCCCAAACCAAAAAACCAACTGTCATTTCTAGCAGTTCCTGATAATATGCATGTTCCAGATGCTAATTATGTATTTCCAGAAGGAAGCTCCTCAGAATGCAAAACTGTGGCCATTTTCATTAGCGTGAAATATTTGGAAACTAGAACTGTTTTTTCACTTAGAGGCAAAAGGAAACCAACCAAGTAATACAGCAATTACACAGCAGTTCTATAAATGGTATTGGATGCAGCCGGACTAAGAAATGCTGCCCACCAAGGAAGCTCCTGGAGCGACCTGGCCCTTCTGCAAAGGTTTCTCAATTCTGGACAGGCCATAAGATAGGAATCCAAATCAGCATCCCTGGGCCTGCTCTACAGTGTTCCTAAACACAAAAGTGAACTCTAGCAAGATCGAAACCCGAAGTGTTGGTTCATGAATCAGGAATGATACAGGACTAAACTTTTACACCGAGGGTTGTCTCAGATTTTAATTCATCCATCTATCTACTGGTTTTCAAAATGTATTCATTCAATAATTATTAAACTCTTACCAAGTCAGGTGCCCAGTAGTATATAAGATATAGGGGATACAAAATAAATGCTCAGAGTTTATTTATTCATTTTTAAAAAGATTTTATTTATTTGATAAAGGTGGTGAGAGAGCACAAGCAGGGGGAGCAGCAGAGGGAGAGGGCCAAGCAGGCTCTCCGCTGAGCAGGGAACCTGATGTGGGCCTCAATCCCAGGACCTTGGGATCATGACCTGAGCCAAAGGCAGACGCTTAACCATCTGAGCCACTCAGGTGCCCCCATTCATTTATTTTTTTTAAAAGATTTAAGAAATAATTTTATCCATTTATTTGAGAGAAAGAGAATGTGCAGGAGGTGGGGAGAGAGAGAAGCAGGCAGGGAGCCTGATGGAGGACTTGATCCCAGGACCCTGAGATCATGACCTGAGCCAAAGGCAGACACTTAACTGACTAAGCCACCCAGGCACCCCAAATGCTCAGAGTTTAGAGGGATAAGTGGTTACGACGCAATGTGGCAAGAACTGAGAAAGCATTATTAAGAGCTTCACAGGACAAGTACATCAGGTAGTTGGGGCAAGACCTCATAAAGGAAACTAACTCAAGATCTTTAATCTCATATAGGAACTCCTTGGCAAGACTTTGGGGGGGAAAAGCATGCCTCATGTGCAGAGAACAGACTGTTTGGTACAGTCAGAGCATTGGGTAGTTGGGCAGAGATGACTGAAGGGAAAAGAGAGATGAACAGATGCCTGGTAGTGAGGGACTTTCTATGAGTTTAAAGAAGGAAATAATTCGATGGCTCTAAGCACAGGTGTGATGTGACCAAGTCTACAACCCCGCCACAGGATGGACAGGGCGTGGAAGAGTGAAGGCTTTCACAATCACCCAGCTGAGAGTGAGGGGTGGTTAGCAGGGCTTGATTGCCAAGTACATGAGTGTGCATGGGTAAGTGAGATAGAATATGCAGGAAGAAGAGTTGGGAAGACGTGTGCCAGGTGTGGGGAGCCTGAGGTGCCTGAGGACGCCTGGTCACCGCGCAGTGGATTGCTCCCGTGCCCCTGGCCTTATGCTGGAGGTACAAAGACAAAACCTGATTTGGAAGAACCTGGAGTCTGGCTGAGGAAAAACAAACAGATGGATTTCAGTAGAACAGGGAACATGGAAAGTGGACCTTCCCAGAAAGCATTTGGAAATGTGCACCTGGAGTTTAGCAGGGAGGTCTCAAGGCAACACAGATTTGTAAACTAAAGTGTTTGATTCATATTTACATGATCACATTTACATGAATGTGATAGCTAAATCCCCGGGTGTAAAGAATATTGCCCAGGGACGGTGGGAAGAAGGTGGAAGAAGATGAAAAGGCCTCCAAGAAGCTGGAGAAGGAAAGGTCAGGGAGGTGGGAGCCAAGGGAAAAGAAGACTTCAAGAAAGAGTAATGGCCAAGTCAGGTGAGAGCAGAAACAATGCCCACAGGAAATGACAGTCATATTACTAGAGCCATCATCAGTACAGGGCAGAAGACAGAAGCCAGGTGGACATGTATTTAGGAATAAATGTGCACAGTATATTCTTTCTAGAAATTTGGCTCTAAAAGGTGTGAAAGAGAGAAGGAAGAGAGCCGAAAGCAGAGGAGGGGAAGCTGCACAAAGAAAAGCAGTAGACAAAGGATGTAGGGCCAGTGAGGGTTTGTTTTTTTTTTTTTCTTTTTAAAATAAAGAATTCAGTTTAAATCCTGAAGAGAAGGAGCTAATAGAAAGGTTAAAAGTATGCAAAGGATTCACTGATCCTAAATCAGGAGATCTGAAATCTTCTCTTTGGTATCTATGAAGGTGGTGGAAATGTTAATCTCATCACTACACCTTTCTTTGCATTCTTTCAAATAATAACCTTGCTCAAAAGGAAGAGAAGAAAGGAATCTCTTAAATCCTTTTTCTTCCACCAGCTTAACATTTTCCCCACCCTGCTTTTAACTCCTGGAGCAGATTCCAAGGACAGATTCCGAGGACTGCTGGGAGTCTGCCTGGAGAAGCACTGGGGAGGTCAATAAGGCAATTTTTAGCCCCCTGACCCACCCAATCAAAACCTCTGGCTGCAGGTTTAACAAGCCCACCAGGTGACTCTGATGAACACTTCTGTTTGGGAACCATTGACAGAGGAAAGCGATCTAGGGAGGAGGAGCAACACCTGACAGGTGGCTAGCAGATTGCTGGGCACATGGAATGGGCAAACTCCCAGGGTTCCAGGTTGCACCTGCAGGGAGCAGAAGTACACAGCGGGGGGATGGGAGGGGGTGGGAGTGGGGGTCACTGCAACGTTTAACTCTTAATCTGTCAGTGCCTAAAGTTTTAGACAAATGAAGCATTGGCTTAACCCAAAACTCCATAATGAAAGCTCTGCTGATAATTATTGGCTCATTTCAAGCTATCTACCCATAGAATTTTTTTGTGTTTCTTTGTTTTAAAGATTTTATTTATTTATTTGACAGAGAAATCCCAAGTAGGCAGAGAGGCACGCAGAGAGAGAGGGGGAACTCCCCACGGAGCAGAGAGCCTGATGAGGGGATCGATCCCAGGACCCTGAGACCACGACCTGAGCCAAAGGCAGAGGCTTAACCCACTGAGCCACCCAGGTGCCCCTACCCATAGAATTTTAAGTCCGGGTGGGACGTGGGACTTGGGGAATCTTTCAGGATGTCAAGTAGCACAAATGAAAAAACCAGTACGCCACACACCCATACCTGCTATTCCGAGATGGATTTTGAGAGTCTCTCCACCTTTTCTGTCTTCTTCCAGAGATTCAGATTCACCAGCAATTGGTATAGACATCGATGTAGAAGGAGGCCTATAAAAAAATATTCCTAAGGATCAGAACTTGATTGATGGGTGAATCAGAAAACTTGATAGTGGTAATGATTGGCTGTGGAGTCAAAATGCAGCCTTAGTAAGGTGCCTGCATAATGCTACCTCGTTGAGGGTGAGTGTAATATAAATCAACAAATACTGTATGAGCTTCTTCAAAACTGGAAAAAGATTCATGGGGGAAAAAAAGGATTTTTAATCAACAGAGAATGTGAGACCAGAAAGGGCACTGCCTTCACGGAGTCCGGGAAAGAGAGAGGAGCTCTGTCCACGTGTCCCCAGCACCATCAGTGCATGATGCTTCAGGTGTCAACTCTGAGACAACATGGGGACGTGTGGAGCATCAAGCGCCTCTGCATCTGAGGTTGGGAGTGGTATCACGCCTCCTGCTCCAGCTCTCTTGTTGGCTCTACTAACTGGTTCAATGGTTTTGTCTTCTACCTTCTTCTTTGTAAACAGTTCACCTAGCCCAGGGGGGAGTCTGTAAAGAACTCCAGTTGTTTAGATTTGCTTTCTGGGCTGGATTCTCTGGGGCAGGTGATGGGTATATTTTCATTGGCCAGTTCTAGGCTCCTATCTCCCTATGGAAGCTATGTAGCATGGAGGGGCAAGTTTGAGTTCTAACAAGAACTTTTTGTTTGTTTGTTTGTTTTACATAAAACATTCCCTAACCTATTGAGGTTGATAGTTTAAAAAAAAAAAAAAATCATATCTTCCTAGAGACTACGCCTTGTTGACCTGAGGTAAAATAGAAAGGTGGTTGCAGGAATTGTGAAGCTGACCTACTATGTGGCAATTCTCGTTTCTGTTATTTTGTATTTATTGAAATTCAAAGCTTACTAGCAAAGTACCTCCAAAATAAGGATTACTAAAATAAACTAAAAAAGTATTTCCAAAATCAAGAAGACCAAAAATTAGTTAGCCTGAGTATATTAGTCATCTCTTGTTGCTGTAACAAATTACCACACACTTAGAGACCAACACAAATTTATTATCTTACACTTGTGCAGGTTAGAGGTCTGACACAGGTTCCACTGGACTAAAAATCAAGGTGTTGGCAGGACCACACTCCTCCCTGGAGGCTTTGGGGGTGAATCTGTTCCCTCTTTTCCAGTTTCCAGGGACCACCTGCATTCCTTAGCTCATGGCTCCTTCCTCTTGTCTTCAAAGCCAGAAAAGTTACATCTTTCTCTGTTCTGTATTTCATATTTCCCTCTGTCCCTGTCTTCTAATTGTCTCTTCCCTTGGATTATATCTCTTCTCTTTAAGGGCCCTTAGGATTATATTGGGCCCATCTGGAGAACCCAGAATAATCTCTCTGAGGCCAGCGGGTTAGTACCTTAATTCCACCTGCCACCTTATTCTTCTTTGCCATTTAATCCAACATATTCACAAATTCTGGGGATTAGGACGTAGACATCTTGGGGAGGGGTGCGAATGCCACGCATTAAATATACCACAGTTTAATAGTCTCATGGCAGTTCAGTAATTGTCATTCAGCTGCCTAAATCTACAGAATTTATCTTTTTAATTTATATAAAACATTAAGCCAGGTAGATGTAACAGTAACAAAAAAAGTAAAGCAATATAAAACAAATTGTACATTTCAAAGTAGTAGTTATTTGTGTGTATATGTTCATATATGTATATATAAAACTATACATGTAGTCACATGTAAATGTGTATATATGTGTACATATGCTATGTGGTAATTCTTTAATTCTTACTAATTATCTCAATAGAATCTGCAGGCTATTCAGGTCCTTGAAGACAGAGACATTTAAGATTGCCATTAACCTATTTAATTTGTAGATTATTTCTATCCTATGATCTCCTAAATTTCAAAAATGCACACCCTGGCGGGATATTTTCTTTTTAAAACTATCTATCTATCTATCTATCTAGAATATGAATGGGGGGTGGGAGTGGAGGCTGGGGGAGGGGCAGAGGGAGAGAGAATCTTACACAGGTTCCACACTCAGTGCAAGCCCAACATGGGGCTTGATCTCAGATTATGGACCCTGAGATCATGACATGAACCCAAATCAAGAGTTGGATGTTAACTGATTTAGCCACCCAGGTGCCCCCTGTTGGGATATTTTCAAGTATGTGTCCTGCAAGTACACTGACGTCAATATATATCCCTAACTAAAGCCATCTTCTTTTCCCAAATCTGCTTTCTTCTTGTATTCCCCTACTCCGAATGCCATCATGGTCAATGAAGTAACCAAAACCAGAATCCTAGATGCTGCCTCTGGGTCCTCCCTACTCGCATTTCTCCACAGCCAATCAATTTCCAAATCACACAGACTCTCTCATATTTCTCCCATTTATCATCTCTTGTCAGCCTCCACTAATTACTTCAGTTTGGTCTTCTTTATACATTATGACCACGAGAGTCTCCTCACAGGTCAGCCTCCCTCTATCCATGCTTTGGTCACTGTGGTCCTTCTGAAGTGTGCCTGTGAACATGTCTCCATCCCTCTACCTCTTAGACCCATTCTCCAGCCCTCAGGGGTCTCAGCCTGTAGCCTCTTCCCTTTCTCGCCCTCTCTCATCTCTGCCCTTTCCAGTCCAGCCTGACTTCAGGGCCATGACACTTTTAGCAATACCTTCAGTTTGGCACCCCTTGTTCTGCAGTCTCAAGCACCTTGAAGAGCCCCAAGCCTGTACAATTTTACTTCTCTTCATTTACTGCTCAAATACTGGGGCAACTAAGCATTATGGATAAAATTCATTAACCATGAGAAATGAATGATATTAAGGCAAATTTCAAAATCTTAGCTGGGCCCTGGCAGCTCTCCTAAGTCTCCCTAGACAACTCAGTCCATGTTGAATAAATAATCACTGACTGTTTAGTTTGTGTCAGTTTTTATTCTGTTACCCCGTTTGTTCTGAAAATGTTTTTGTACCCCTTTATCAGAAATTGTGTAATATAGCTCAATTACAGAATGAAAGAGATGAGATTTTAATTTCACAATAATGTTTACAGTGTGTGAAAAATAACCTAAAATGACAATATTACCTACTTAGTATTCCTGCCCTGTAACAGCACCAAAAACTTGTGCAAGCCATTTTCTTTTCCTAGAGCATCTTTACCCATCTCCTCTGCTTCATAATTTCCTATTCATCCCCTAAAAATTAGCTCAGTGTCACCTGCCCTCAGTGAAGACTTTCCTGGCTTTTTTTTTTTTTTTAAGATTTTATTTATTTATTTGACAGAGAGAGACAAGAGAGACAGAGAGAGAGGAAACACAAGCAGGGGAAGTGGGAGAGGGAGAAGCAGGCTCCTTGCTGAGCTGGGAGCCCAATGTGGGGCTCACTCCCGGGACCCTGGGATCATGACCTGAGCCTAAATGACTGAGCCACCCAGGCACCCCAACTTTCCTAGTTTTTAAGAAAAAGTAGTTAGGGATCATCTCTCCTCTATGCCTTGAGAGCATCATATGTCCTGTGTCCACCTCCCAAATAAACAGTGAATCCTTCAGAGCAGGGGCTGGTCTTAATTTAGTTTGGTAAATGTTAGCACATGGTAGACAATCAATGCACATGTATTGAATAAATAAGTCACTCTTGGGACCTTGGACAAATTAGTTTCTTGACCTCTGAGCTTCAAGGTCCTCACTTAAAAAATATGGAAAAAGCATCACAGAGTTGTTTCAAGAATTAAACTGGGAGATAATAATAGTCATTAAATCATTTTGACAAATAGTAATTTCCTTCCTCCCAGAATGTGAATGTTCCAGAGCCCCAGCTACTCAAGAGGATTACATCATCCCTAGATCTGCTTCCCCACTAAGTTGTCAGGTGCCAGTGAAGCATAGAATTTCTCTCCCAAAATATCCTTTGTCTTTATTAGCACTAGTGGTTTGCTTTCTTTTCAGCCAGTTTCATTCTTTTACTAGAGCTGGTGGATATTTGATAAGTTGCAGAGACTACAAAAGAGAGTTTAGGGCAGACAGTTATGAGCCTGACTTATCAGCTGTCTTATGCATAAATATAGACTCATGGTATGAAATTTGTCTTTCAGAAAAATAATATAAGCCATATTACAGATCCTCTGCTCATAAAATATCAAAGCTAGAATTTAAAGGTGAGAATGTTAAAGATTTGCTGTATTCTTGTTAGTTTCTCTACTAGGTTTTTAAAAGCTTTTTTAATTTTTAAAAAAAATTAAAAAAAATTTTTTTCATGAAAAATTCAAAGACAGACAAAAGCAGAGAAAATAGTGGAATGAACCTTCCCAGCAGTTAGTCACTTACATCTAGGTTTTACAGACAAATAGTCGTGTCGCTCAATTGCTTTGTGCCTTTGTTTTCTCATCTGTAAGATGAGAACTTGGATTATATAACACTTTTAAAACTGTGAAGCTCCCTTAGAGACTTCAGGGGTAGTAAGGTATTATATCTTTTTGACCCACAATAGAAAAATGCTATATACTGGGAATCATCATACATTTGAGCAGAAGGACTTTGTGGCTAAATAGTCTGAAAAAAAAAAAAAAATCACTGGACTAGACAACTTCCAACATTATCTTCAGCTCTAAAGCACTGTGATTTTATATTTCTGATATATACTAAAATACAACCTAATAAAAATAATTTATTTTTACATCATTTAAACACTTTCCTATTCAGTCCACACTCAGCATGTACAAGTGCATGGATGTGTTAGAGCTGTCCTTTTTCCACTGACACATGTACAATTTCAGATATTTAGAGAAAAGAGAAAATAAATATTGGGGGTTTCGTTTTCCTGAGAAATACTTTTATGTATCTTGGGATTAGGTAAGGTCTGTTTATTCTAATGAGTTACAAACATCTTTTTCTATAAATAGAAACTCTAGACTGTCTGATTTACATTCCTGGAGATAATACAGAATATAAGATGATCTATTTTTTAGCTCTTTAGTATTTCAGTTGCACAAATAGATAAAATGCTAGAGAAAAGGGCCAGAAAGGGAATATTTATAAGTTCATGAGAAGGAATGATGAATTCCTTTTCTTCTACTTACTTTTGCTGCTCATTTTCTTATTTCACCCTAAGCTGATTCACTAGAAAAACACTGTTACCTAAGAAGCCAAATACAGTGTAGCAAAAATTGTTTAGTCCTAAGAGAGCAGGATATAAAGAAATAAGCCAGGAAATTAAGGTTTGAGAGAGGACAACACAGGAAGGATAAGTTACAGTAAAATGCATAGTTTAATCAATAACTGATTTGGACAAAAATATGTATTTTCATCTTTATAAAACACTGTAAATAGAAAACTACATAGACATCACTATTGAAAATTTTTTTTGAAATTTAGATTGAGAGAGAGTGTGGTGGGAGGGCCAGGGGGAGAGGGAGAGAGATAATCTCAAGCAGACTCTCCCCTGAATGCAAAGCCTGATACAGGGCTCGATCTCACCTCCCTGAGATTATGACCTGAGATGAAATCAAGAGTCAGACACTCAATTGAATGAGCCACTCACAAGCCCCTGGACGTTACTATTAAAAACATGAAGTTGATACACAGGGAAATAATTCAGGTTTCCTTTTCTAAATATATTTTTCTCAGATATTCAAATAACATATAATTAACTTTTTTTTTGTCTTCTGGACTGCTAATGAGCAATCCTACTACCTCTTCCCATTCTGTTCACTCTCCTACACTCTGAGGACTTCCACACATCTTTCCTCAAACCCCCACCTCCGTCTTTCCCATCCCCACTCCTCAGTGATCATCTTGTTTCCTATTTCACTAAGAAATCAGGAACAATTTGAAAATAAGTTCTATTTGCTTCCACTTTTCATATACCTGCATCTGAAGCCTATTCTCTACCTTCATTCCTCTTGACAGTCCAAGGACACTGTCTAGCAACTGTCCTTTTGCTCTTCTGTACCATATCTCACCTTCTCTATTGAACCATTCCTATCAGTACACAAATATCCTGAACTATCTTCCATCTTAAAACACCCCAAAGACCTGCCCTTGACCCTGTATCCTCATTTTATTTGTAACCCCATTTTCTGTTCCCTTTTTTTTTTTTGCAGCAAAATTCCTCATAAGAATTGTTTATATTTTCTCCAATTTCTCTCTTCCCAAACCTTCTTTAACTCACTCCAATAAGGCTGCAGGCTCATAGCATTCTACTGAAGTGCTTGTTGAAGGCACCAATGGTCTCTGTACTGCAGATCCAAAGGTCAATTCTCAGTCCTCATCTTCCGTGATCCACATCCATGGTGTGGGACAGAGCTGATTAATCTCTCCGTTTTGAAACACCTCCTTCACTTGGTTTTCAGGCCAGTCCTCTCCTTTGGTTCCTTCCTCCTCTCTCACAGTTGTTCCTTTGCTGGTTCTTCCCCGTCTCCCCAATCTCCAACACACTGGGGTGTCCCACCCCTCAGTCTGTGTTCTTTTTCTTTATTTATGCTCACTCCATCTGGGTCATTGAATCAAATCTCATGGCTTTAACTACTATCTATGTGCTGATGACATCATGATTTCCAAATGTGTATCTCCAGCCTGGGCCTCCCCACCCAACTCTGTAGTGCCATATCCAACTGCCTACTTGAGGTGCCTGGCCGGTTGTTAAATAGGGATCTCCAACGTAACATGTCCAACACCTAAGCTCCCAACCTCCAACCTTGCCTCTCAGAGGCTCTCTCATTTCAATAAATGAGTTACTCTGGCCCTAAACCTTGGACTACTGGAACAGCCTCCTAACTCATCTACCTATTTCTGACCTTGCTCCCATCGTTGTTCCCACAAATTGTCTATTCTCTACCTAGCAGCCATAAGTCAGATAATTTTAGTCCCCTACTCTAAACCCTCCAGTAGCTTTTTATCTCAGGTTATAAGTAGCCAAGGAGACTCTTTATCATCTGATCCCATTTCTTATCCCCCTTCTCCCCATTCTCTCTGTTCTAGACATACTGGTCTCCCAGCAGCCTGTTGGACATACCAAACACACTTCTCCCTGAGGCCTTTGTCACTGTTTCCTCTACTTCAAATGCTCTTTCCCCAAATATCTGCATGGTGTGCTTCCCCCCTCCTTCAGGTCTCTGCTCAAATACCATCTCTGCCAGGGAAGACTTTCTTTGACTACTCTCTCTATAAAACAGCAACCTTTCTCCCCACATGCCCCCTACCCTGCATTATTTTTCTCCAAAGCACTCTTCACCATCTTTATATTATACATTTATTTCTTAGCTTACTGTTTTCCTCTTAAGAATATATGCTCCAAGATATCAGGAACGGTCTTTTTTTTTTTTTTTTCCTCATTGCTGTTTCTCTAGTGTCTAGAATAGGGCCTAGCACATGGTAAGGCATTTAACAAGTATTTGTTGAAGACATGACTAAGTCCATAGAGATCAAATTAAAAAACTTAATTTGTATAGTTTCACCCAAAACTTGAAGATGATGAAAGATCTACAGCCTAAATAAATCCTAAATAAATTTAGAGTGTGGGGAGCTCATTTGGTAAAGGGTTAATAGTAATTTCTATGTAGGTCAGGCAGTCTCCTAGGAAAAGAATGGTCCCTTTCTGGGTAAACAATACAATACATGAATGTACAAATTTAAACAACAACAAAAAAATCACTATTATACTTTCAGATAAATAATTCATTTACTGAGAATCAACTTACGTTTTAAAACACGGGTCACCAGACATCAGCTGCATACTGATCAAAACCTGGGTATTAGAAAAAGAAATATGATTACAAAAGTCCCCTTGAGCGAAGCCATGCTCTGCTAACCCACACCTCCCCCAGAGAACCTAGGCCAGTATTTCCTACTTAGAGATTATTTGATAAAGCAAATGCAGAATTGAGTTACACCCAGTATTAAATTGCTGCTTGTTTATACAGACCATTTTCCAACATTCAAAACTTGGTAATGGCAAAAATCGGTGCTAGAAAGGTGGAAAGGGAGAACAAGTGCCACAATGTGATGCCCCGCGGGGGTGCACTGGTCACCCTGGTCTCCCAGATTCCTATGGTGTTTCGGTGTCTGGAATGTTTCCCTCCAACCTGCCATGTCGATGCTTCAAGGGGAGCTTGTGGGGGCTTGTGAGAGCAGAATGCTTCTGGCCTTTGCTCTATCTTTAGAACAGAATTTAGGGGCATCTGGTTAAGTGGGCTCAGTCGGTTAAGTGTCTGCCTTCAGCTCAGTTCATGATCCCAGACTCCTGGGATCAAACCCTGCATCAGTCTCCCTGCTCAGCGGGAAGCCTGCTTCTCCCTCTCCCACTCCCCCTGCTTGTGGTTCCTTCTCTCACTGTGTCTCTCTCTGTCAAATAAATTAAAAAATCTTAAAAAAAAAAAAAAAGAACAGAATTTAAAGTTTTGTTAATGCTTTCTGAAATGTTACTTTTCTCTACTTGCTGATGGTCTCTTAAGACTCGGCTGTAGGATTTTGTTTTATTCTTGCAGGAAAAATAATGGTAATAGCAGGAATAACAACAATGTTGACAGCAATTGTGATTTGAGAATTGTGTGCCAGGCATAAGCTAAGTGTTGTATATTGCATAATTTCATTTACTGTTCAAAACTCCAATGAGAGACTCATACTTTCCTTTTAAGCTCAGGAGACAAAGTGATATTTTCACTATCAGGTAGCTAATAAAGGGTAGATATGAGATATCAAACTAGGACTGCATAATACTGAAACTCATGGTCTTTATGAAGAAGAGAATATTTATTTATGTGCATATTTTCTACCTAGTGGCTGACATACATCCTAATAGAACCTCATTTCTTTCTTATTTCTTCACCTCTGTACCTCTACTACTGTTCTTTTTCTGAGCGCTACACTTATTAAATGTGGGACCTGAGCCAGCTGTGCGGGCATCCTTATCCCCTCCGCTTTCATAGAACTCCACAGTCTGGTTTCTCACTATGTAAAAACAGCACTCTTGAGTATCCCAAATGTCTCAGAAGGGATGGAGATGATCACATGCAGCTTGTAAGACATTGTGTGGGGAAGGAGAACAGAAAGAGTGGGATAGCGGTTGGAGGAGGTGTTTGTTTTAAATACAGTAGATATGAGAGCTGTTTCTTCATATGTTAATGAGCATAATTCACTGGAGAAAGAGATGGTTAGGAAAAGGGATAGTCCAAGCTGCAAAGCTCTTGATCAGGCAAGCTTTGGACTCTAGCACTTAAGAGGAAGGAGTGACTTTGGACAGGGAGAGGAACATTTCCTTCATTGTCATGGGGGCAGAAGGGATAACAGGGCTAGAAAGACAGGAAGAATTGTAAATTCTGCAACAGGAAGATGAAGGAATTTGAATCTAATGACTTGTTTTCTCCATAAAGGATAAAGTAGGACCACTAGCCGAGAATAAGGATGGTGTGTAGAGATCTGAGAAGAAAGAAGGTATAAAATAGAGTATTTGGTAACTGGGAAAGGACGCTTACAAAGGAAGGAGGGTTGCTTGACGGCAGGGAGCAAGACTGTAGGAACAGCGGCTGGATGGTTGTGTGATCTTCTCCAGCAACATTCGAAAATTAGGATGCAGGCCCAGAAAGGACAGTTGAAGTTGAGTTTAACTGGGGTTAGGGATTCGCTGGGAGAGAGTGATGAGGGAGATGGGCAAAGGAGTAAGAAGTATTTTTGAGAGAGAGAGAGAGAGAGCACAAGCAGGGGGAGCAGCTGAGGGAGAGGGAGAAGTAGGCTCCCCACTGAGCAGGGAGCCTGACATGGGGCTCGATCCCAGAACCCTGGGATCATGACCTGAGCTAAAGGCAGATGCTTAAGCGACTGAGCAACCCAGGTGCCCCACAAGTGTTTTTAAGCATAAGAGAATCATGGATTCTGGAATCTAAGCTGGATAAAGAGGGAAGTGGAAGGAAGTGGAGGCTGGTAGACAGTGGGAGAACTGTAAGGTGAAGGACAGCTAAGTGAGCAGTAGACTAAGAGGACTGGAAATATAAGAGACAAAAGTAGCAGAGGGGAATACCAGTGGTGAAGTTTCTAGAGATAGAAAAGTCTAGAGTTTGGCCATGGGGGGAGGAATTGAGAAGAAGAAAAAGAAAAGGATGCTGGAGAAGGGTAGTTTAAAGAACAGAGAGGCCTCTCGCACAAAAAAGATTAGCTCGAAGGAGAGAATGCATAGAGAAGACAGTCCACAAGGACAGATCACCCACCAGATGGTGAAGCCACCAAAACATGACGACAGAAGGGATGGAAAGAGAATCTGTGAGCCAAGAGCTAAGTCATCAATGAGCAGGAGAGAGAAGTTAACTAGGTGGCCGGGAGATGACAGAGCTCAGGCAGGGAGAGAGTGTGAGAGTTAAATGGTGTGATTTATAGAAGAATAAGTTATGCGGTGCCTGGGTGGCTCAGTCAGTTGAGTGTCTGACTCTTGGATTTAGCTCAGGTCTTGATCTCAGGGTTGTGAGATCGAGCCCCACATCAGGCTCTCCGCTCAGTGTGGGGTCTGCTTGAGAGTCATTCTCTCTCTCTCTCTCTCTGTGCCTACCCCAACTTGCGCATGCATTTTCTTGCACTCAAAAAAAAAAAAAAAAAAAAGAGCAAGTTCTTTATAGGACCAAGTGGGAGAGATAGTGTGAAAGGATTAATGAATGGGGAGCCAGAGGAAACTACTCCAGGAGCCGGCCCTAAGGAATGGGGTTAGGATGGGGGAGTCTGAAATTAGTAACTTATTTCAATTTCCAACGAAGACACTATAATTCAGAGAAGGATTATAAATCTTCTTATACGGCAAATATGAAGAAATTGAATTTAGTGGCTTGTTTGGGGATGAGTCTAAGACTGAACAGTGCAGTCTGTTCCTTCTGAGTCTGGTGCTTAGACAGCAGGGTAACATGAAAAGACCACTGACTCTACACGATAGAAGATACGCATTCTGGTCTCTGCTCTGCCACCGATGACTTTAGTGAGACACTTAACCTGAGTCTCAGCTTCTTCATCTGGAATCTACCCTATCCATCACTGTTTATGTCGTACAGGTATACGCAACTGCTCTGAAATTTTTTGTTTATTTACTGAAAATGAAGTTTTAAAAGTGTAGGTGTTGGGGAATTCTTTGCTCCACTAACTTCTGACCATCCAGTTTTTATTCTGAATTATTTTCCTTTTTTAATGTTAGATAACTTACCATCATGGGGTAACCTAACTAAAATACAGCAAAAGTTTGTCCAGTGAGTCTTACTAGGTACAAGGTGCTTTATAAACATTTTCTCAATTGGTCTCGTTTAATACCCTCATCAACTCTCTCAAGTGTATGTTATCCTCTGTGGCCACGAGAATAGGAGGCTGCTGATGGTACTTAGAATCAAGAGGGCAGATGCCTAAAGTGAGTTTCACCTGTCATTTACTAGTTATAGGAAAGCCCAGTGACTTCTCTGCACCCACCACAGATGCTTGGGAAGTCACTCTTTGGGAGCGACAAACATTTTTAAGGTCTTCACTCCTCATGCTCCTTACTCTCTATGAGCCCTTACGCTGTAGCAGTTGTATGTACTACTCCCTGAACGTTCATAGCTCCAGAAATACCTTGGATCATGAAGGTGAACATTTGTTACTTTTGCTGCTTCTATGATTTGGGAAGCTTTTCCCCTAGACGGTGAGTATTTCAGTGGCGCGGTCAGCTTATGATCTCATGCCGATCCCATCTTGCCCTTGACTGTATATACCTATGCTTATTTAAAGGCGGAGATTCTCATTTGTTGACATGTAAATCTCAAAACGTGCTTACTTTAAGAATGGAATTATCCTGTCTTGTATTTTTGGTATCATAGCCTTCCAGTAAACAGCGACGAGTGGTATTTCCTGATCCAGCAAACTCTGCCAGGTTTAGATCTGCAAAGCCCAGCTATGAAAAGAAAGGGAATTATATTAATAGAATATCTACTAGGCTTCTATCATATTCTCCTTAAAATAAACATTCAACCCATGTTCTAGACAAGTTTTCTCAAAATCAGTCATTTGCAATTTTGGCCATCTTCACAGTATCTGCTTTATTATTTGCTTAATGTGTGTCTTTAGATTGACTCGCTTCTTTTGTAAAAATGTGTTAAGTATTCTAATCTAATCTTAGGCAATTCGATCTCAAATCACATATTTGATGTGCTAAATATATATTTTTTGTGTACACACTGAAATACGTAACTGTTGAAGTAGAAAGAATGTTTATCAAACAATTAAAATCATTGCAAGGAGCAGTGGTACTCACCCCACACTGTGGGAAATAGTAGCAGACCAATCATGATCATTTGCATATTCATAAAGAAAACTGATCAGACTTTCTTCTCCCTATTCTGGCTCTGGCTCCATGCCCAGTTAACCACTGGTGACTGCAAACAGTTGCAGGTTATTAAATTCTTACTTTCCATGCAAGAAATAGAATGATTTAAGTTTTCTTCAGTATAAGGCCCTACTCCTTCACATTCCACAGCATTTGCTTTGCTGATCACACTTAAGCTAAATCCCTTCTTATGAAACCTTTTCCCCTTCCCCAAAACTGTGCTCTACAACAACACTCTATGCTGCTCTCCAAAAGTTTAGATCAATCCTCTTCCTTCCTCTCATTACTACTCAGGTTCAATCCCATTTTCTTTCTTTCTTTTTTTTTTTTTTTTGAAGATTTTATTTATTTATTTGACAGGCAAAGATCACAAGCAGGCAGAGAGGCAGGCAGAGAGAGGAAGGGAAGCAGGCTCCCCGCCAACCAGAGAGCCCGATGCGGGGCTCGATCCTACGACCCTGAGATCATGACCTGAGCCGAAGGCAGAGGCTTTAACCCACTAAGCCACCCAGGCACCCGAGAAAACACATTCTTATTTAAAAAAAAAAAAAAAGTTTAAGTGCTAGAATGGAAGAAGGCACAGTTACAAGATAGAAAGGAAAAGAAAATTTCTCAGGGGAAGGGATGACTAAACTGAATGTTTAATGCTGTATAAGTTGACAGGACAAGGGAAGGGGGAAGCATATGCATGGCAGAGAAAATATCAAGTCACAAGGCAAAGAGCGTAAAAGAGCAGAGTACATTCCAGGAGGTTTCTGAGGGCAGTAAGTCTGAAGCATAAGAATTAAGTGAGTGTGAGTGTGAGCATGTACAGATGATGTCCAAGATGGGTCTAAATGCTAGCTAAAGACTTTCATCTCATTTTCCTTTACAGGCAATAGATAGTTGCTGAAGGACTAAAAGTGGGGGAATGATCATGTCTGAATTTCAGAATGATCATACGGCAATAATATAGAGGACGGATAGAGGGAGACATCAGAGGCAGAGAATAAAAGGTAAGAGGCCAGTGCAGGTTTTAAGTAAGAAATAATGAAGGCATAACCTAAGGCACCTGCCTTGTGAATGGAGAGAAGGGATGATTTTTAAATAAGAAGGGAGAAATCAGGATTTGTCAACTGCAGCAGACCCTGTTTTTTGCCTCCCAACCATCATCCAATGTTCTTACATTCCTTGTTAGCAGAGCCCTAATTTTATTCAAATGTCCACCCTTAGCTCATCCATGTGCAACAGGAAAGTAGCCCAACCTTTAGCTCATTGTCAAACTGATGAGTCTAAGCTAGCCATGGCAATCCATTCCTACCGCCCATGCCTGGTTTAGGAGTGGCCATATCATCCAGTTGTAGCCAATGAAAGTTACGGGGAAATCTTCTGAGGGCCAACTGGGAAAAGTTTTCTCACTCAGAGATTTCCTCACTCAGCTGGATTTTGTTGTATGTGAATGTGTGGACTAAAACTCAAGCCATCTGGTGATCATGAGAAGAGCTGGGCAAGGATAAAATCATGACACAGTGAATGGAAGAATGAAAAGAGAAAAGTAACATGGGTTCTTGATGACGTCCTTTAGTCAGTGGATTAACTACTCCTGGAGCGGCTCTACCTCACATCTGCGGCTCTGTTTCATATCTACTTGCTCTGTGAAATTAAAAACAAAACAAAACAAAACAAAAAAAAACCCTCTAGGTGAGGAGGGTATTCTGTTACTTGTAGCAAAGAACATCCTGACACTGCAACCACACAGTTTTAAGGACTTAAGAGTTGATGGTTAAGCTGGTATCCTGGCGCAGATGACTAAATTGACAGAGATACCATCAGAGATGAAAATAAAAGAGTATGTATGTCTCTGGCAATATTACTAATTCCTTCTATTCATCAAAAAGGTGAGCACACAAATCATTAGTAATTCCATATAGCTAGTAGAAGTATAAAGAATTGTAGTGAGCATGTCCTACAGACTGCTAAGAGAACACAGAGGAGAGGTCCTATTCCACTGAGGGGTGAGGGGAGGCAGGATTAGTAATACTTCCCAGGGGAGACGGTATTAACAGATGCTATTACTTAATGGAAACCAGAGATCATCTTCTAGTAGGGAAGCTGAAATGTAAGAATAACATCCTATAATCAGTTTTTAGGAAGAATGTGCCTATAATTTATTGCTGGATCCAACTCTTCAATCTTCAAGTAGCTTTATTTAAAAACAGCCAACTCGGGGTGCCTGGGTGGCTCAGTCGGTTAAGCGTCTCTCAATTTCATCTCCGGTCATGATCTCTGGGTTGTGGGATGGAGCCCTGCTTAGTGGGGAGTCTGCTCTTTCCCCCACTTGCACTCTCTAAAATAAATAAAATCTTAAAAAAAAAATAAATAAAAACAGCCAACCTGAATAGCAATTAGAAGAGCAAACCATTTAATTTTTAAGCTTATAAGTAGCAGTGAGTAATATTACAAGTTCCAAAAGAGTTAAAAAAACATCTACTTACCTTTGCATAAGCTTTTCCACCTTTCAATTCCTGTGAAAGATAAAAAACACTATAAGGATATCATATGATTAAAGATTTAAAATTAGGAACAACTGGGTGGCTCAGTCCGTTAAGTGTCTGCCTTAGGCTCAGGTCATGATCCCAGGGTCCTAGGATCAAGTCCCACCCACATCAGGCTCCCTGCTGAGTGCGGAGCCTGCTTCTCCTTCTGCTTGCTGCTTCCCGTTTGTGCTCTCTCTCTCTCTCTCTCTCTGACAAATAAAATGAATAAAATCTTTAAAAAAATAAAGATTTAAAATTAAACACATATAAAATAATCCTGAAGTAGATATTTACATATTTACATGCTTAATAAATATTGACAGTAAATTTCTAATGATCCTAAATTCAACTATTTGGATGGCTACCCTACCCCCATCCCCCAAATTGTCAGAAGCTTAACTGAGAATTTAACTTAAATCTGAAAAAGGGAAATGGTAAGAAGACAAGCTAATTTTTAATCTATTCTGAAGAAGAAATTGCCAGAAAGTATCCTAGATGCACTGTAAGAACCCAAATCATCAAAGAAAGGTTAAATTATTTACTTATTAGTAAGCACGTGAATGAAATTGTGGAAAGATTTTATTAAGAGTTGAAACTCCCGCCCCAAAGACAACTACTGTTACCAACTTTTAGGAACAAACCCAAAGATGCCTTTTACTCAAATGTACCATACTACACACACTGCTATTTTTTTTCTTTTAAAGATTTTATTTATTTGACAGAGAAAGAGACCGCAAGAGAGGGAACACAAGCAGAGGGAGTGGGAGAGCAGACTTCTTGCAGAGCAGGGAGCCAGATGTGGGGTTCGATTCCAGGACTGTGGGATCATGACCTAAGCTGAAGGCAGACGTTTAACTGACTGAACCACCCAGGTACCCCTACACACACTGCTTTATATCTTACTTTCTTCTACTTATATATGATATTGTCCATGTTAATATAAATATACATATGTGTGTATGTGTGTACATATATATATACACACACACACAAATAATACCCATGTTAGTATAGTAGACTCCCTCCTAACTAATGTGAACAAGACTGGCAAAAGTAAAAAATAATAAAAAAATGTATAGGCATCTTGACATTTTATTTGAAACACGTAACTATACAATAATTTGCCAAATCTCTGGATTTAGGACACTGCACAGTTGTGAGAATTAAGTGTAAAACACTTAGAACAAAGCCCAGCATACAATATATCCTGTATGTGTGTTTGCCATTACAATTAGGGTCAGAATCTCCTCTCCCGACTCACTTTAAAAAAATTAGTTTTAGGTTACAACACAGTGATTTGACAATTCCAAATATTACGCAATGCTCATCATGGTAAGTAGAGTCACCATCTGTCACCATACAAAGCAATTACAAAATTAGTAATGATATTCCCCATGCTGTACTTTTCATCTCTGTGACTTATTTATTTTATGACTGGAAGTTTGTACCTCGTAATCTCCTTCACCTACTTCAACCATCCCCTCATCCCCCTCCCTTCTGGCAGCCACCAGTGTGTTCTCTGTACTTATGATTCTGTTTCTGGTTTGTGTTTGTTTTGTTTTGTTTTTTAGATTCCACGTAGAAGTGAAATCATACAGTATTTGTCTTTCTCTGATATTTCACTTAGCACAACACCCTCTAGGTCCATCCATGTTGTGCAAATGGCAAGAGTTCATTTTTTTGAATACCATTTCCATCTTTAAAGTAATGAATCTAAGCTCTCTGCTCCTCCCTGTTTGACAGACAGCTACATCTTACAGTGCAGTGCCAGCTGTGTCCCTAAGACACAATGGTGAACATCATAATAAATGGATTTGGCTTTACTGGGCACCTGGTCACCAGGGCTGCTTTTAACTCTGGCAAAGCGGATACTGTTACCATCAATGACCCTTCATTCACCTCAACTACATGGTCTACATGTTCCCGTATGATTCTACCCACAGCAAAGTCAATGGTACAGTCAAGGCTGAGAACAGGAAACTTGTCATCCATGGCAAACCTATCTCTATCTTCCAGGAGTGATACCCTGTCACCATCAAATGGGGTGATGCTGGTGCTGAGTATGTTGTGGAGTCCACTGGGGTCTTCACCACCATGGGGAAGGCTGGAGCTCACTTGAAGGGTGGGGCCAAGAGGGTCATCATCTCTGCCCCTCCTGCTGATGCTTCCATATTTGTAATGGGCATGAACCATGAGAAGTATGGCAACCCCCTCAAGACTGTCAGCAATGCCTTCTGCGCCACCAACTGCTTGGCCCTTCTGGCTAAAGTCATTCTTGACAACTTTGGCATCATGGAGGGACTCATGATTCATGACTCCATGCCATCAGTGCCACCCAGAAGACTGTGATGGACTCTCTGGGAAGCTGCCGCATGATGATTGAGAGAGACTACCCAGAACATCATCCTTGCTTCTACTGGTGCTGCCAAAGCTGAAGGCAAGATCATCCCTGAAGTGAATGAGAAACTCACTGGCATGGCCTTCTGTGTCTCCACCTGCAACACGTCAATCATGAATCTGACCTACTGCTTGGAGAAAGCTGCCAAATATGATGACATCAAGAAGGTGGTGAAGTGGTGAAGCAAGCATCAGAGGGCCCCATCAAGGGCATCCTGGGCTACAAAGAGGACCAGGTTGTCTCCTGTGACTATAATAGTGACACCCATTCTTCCACCTTTGATGTTGGCATTGCTCTCCAAGACCACTTTGTCTAGCTCATTTCCTAGTATGACAATGAATTTGGCTATAGCAACCAGGTGGTGGACGTTATCATCCACATGGCCTCCAAGGAGTAAGAGCCCCCTGGACCATCAGTCCCAGCAGAACAAGAAGAGGGAGGCCCTCAGCTGCTGGGGGTTCTTGCCCTAACTCATCCCCCAACATATTGAGAATCTCCTGACCTCTGAACAGTTTCCATCCCAGACCCCATGAAGAAGGGGAGGGACTTGGGGAACCCTACCTTGTCATGTGCCATCAATGTACCATGTACCATGTACCCAGCACCTCCCTCCCCCAAAAAAGTGGTGAATTGAAATAAGATGAGCAGCAATCTATGGTAAACTCAATTATTTATGAATATTTGCTGCCCTTCCCCTTTCCTGTCCCACTGATGTCTGGCGTGGCCATGCCACTAAATCTGCCCCATTATGAATTATTGAATTATTCTTACTATGTTATTGTCATATCCCTTAAGAGCACACTTCACTAAATAAAACAAAACTTTCTCCAGATGATCCTTGTCTCTTCTAGCTAATTCTTTGCTTCCCTCTACAGCTAAACTGCTCAAAAATTTTTCAATTTGCTGTATTCCCAATCTCTATTCGATCTACTTCTAACAGGTTTTTGTCCTCATTTTCCCCTCTGCAATGGTTCTTAAGATTACCAATGTTGTCCATTTTTGTTAAAGCCCAAAAGCTCCATCTCACTTAACCTCCCAAGAACATCTGACAAACTTGGCCACTCCACCTCCTTTCTTACATGATTTTCTTTTCTAACATTCCATTGTGCCACAATTACCTGGTTTTACTCCTATCTCACTGGCTGTTCCTTCTCACTTCCATTTGCTGGACCTACTTCTGTATTCAACCTCTGTAGAAAGAATGCTAGTTGTACTCCAACTATCCATTCCTCTGCTCTCTGAAGTAACAGAAAACTGTATTTTTATGTGGGCATCTGGCACCCCAAAATAATGACAATAATTTAAAATTTTTTTTAATTTAAATTCAATTTAAGTAACATATAGTGTATTATTAGTTTTAGAGGTAGAATTCAATGCTTCATCAGTTGCATACAACACCCAGTGCTCAGTACATCACATGCCCTTCTTAATACCCAATCCCAGTTACCCCATCCCCCCACCCACCTCCCCTTCAGCAACCCTCAGTTTGTTCCCTATAGAGTCTCTTATGGTTTGCCTCCCTGTTTTCATCTTATTTTATTTATCCTTCCCTTCCCCTATGTTCATCTGTTTTGTTTTTTAAATTCCACATACAAGTGACATCATGTGGTATTATGACAACATTTTCTACCTTCCTGTTGTGCTATGGCAGTGTGACTAAGAACTCACCAAAAGGATGTAAGAAGTGATACATATGAATTCTTGCTCATCTCCTGCTAACTGTAATTTATACTACCTCTGAGTGTTGGAATGATCCAGGATTTGTTTAGGGCTTGTTATCTTCTACGTCTATACTTTCCCCCATTCAAGTCTGTAGTTACTGTTTTGTTTGTTTGTTTTGAGAGAGAGAGAGAGGGAGAGGGAGAGGGAGAGAGAATCCCAAGCAGGCTCCATTCTCAGTGTGGAGCCTGATGTTGGGCTCCATCTCACAACCCTGAGATCATGACCTGAGCCGAAACCGAGATGGACACTTAACTGACCGAGCCAACCAGGCATCCCAGACCTGTAGCTTTAAATAAAAACTGTATGCTGGAAACTTTCATGTCTCTGTCTCTAGTTTGACTTCTCCCCTGAGTGCCAAACCGGTACCTTTAAATGACTACTGGACATTCCTACTTGGTATCTCATAGACACTTCCAATGTGACATGACCAAAATAGGCCTGCTGATTTCTGCTTATCAGTCCCCAAAATTATTTCACTCTGAGCTCTTGTCACTTCAATAAATAGTATAATTATCTTCTTATATGCTCAGGCAAAGGTCTAAGATTTATCCTCAATTTTTACCCCTCATTTACCACATCCAATCCATTAGTGGGGGTCTACCTCCAGAAATACATCCCAAATTATACAGTCTCTTTGGTTATAACTCCATGGCAATATAAGCATTATTCACCTGAACCATCCCCACCACCTATGTGGTCTATCTGCAATGCATCCTCTACACAGTATCAAAACTGATCTTTGAAGATCATATCTCTCCTTAGTAAAATCCTCAAATGGATTCCAACTGTATTTAGAATAAAATCCAAACTCCTTACCATGTCCTATAGGGCCCTATTCGATCTAGTGCCTCCATCCTCATCACCAAGA